TTCCTTTCTAGTTTGTTACATGATCTAACATTACTTGCTGCCGATTCCCCATCATTTCTGCTTGTAAATGAATCACATGTTCCATTCAATATTCAGCAACAGGCGACTCGTCCGTCAATGAATAACCTATGGGAAAGTGACTAGCATAGCTTTAGGAGCTTTAAGCAGTGAGCACACAGATCTTTTTCTTCTATGGTGAGTTAGCCTGGCTGTTGTCACATGATCTAGAAAAAGTTCAGACAGCACTTGTGCAATTGCCAAAATATTGATGAACTCACAGATAAGAACAGACAGACAAGACTAGAGAGTCCTGGTTTCGAGCTGCTGCCACTGTTTTCCATTTCTACAACCTACTGATTAGGCTGCGGCTGGTATTCGCAGTCATTCACGCATCTAGGACTTCTAGAAGGATCAGAGCGACGTTTTTTTCTCACAAAATTTTTCCCATTTATTTGAAATCAAAACACGATTGGTTGACTCCTCTGTCACTTCGTAATTACGCTCATGGTTAATCTAATGCGTTAGGCCTTCTCGTCAGCTCTTGAATTCCTTTGGACTTCTAACTCTTTCTGGCACTCTATAGCATTGATGAGATCTCAGACCAGTTGTTGCTCACACGACAGCTTCATTAGGACTCAGACTCCACCCTGGAAAACGTCAAACTTTGGGTAGTGCTGTTTAAGTTCATCATATATGTTTGACCCCGAGGTAAAATACTCAAACTCCATTAGTGCTAAGCTTTTAAAAACCATTAAACGGTCAGAAACATACCAGACATACATACTTCTGTCCTATTGGATGCGCTGAGACTTGGCCAAGGTGTGTCGTGCAAAAGTTTAAAGCATTTGACCTTTATATGACTGACCCGGTTTTCCATTGCGCTTGCTGTGACGTGCATCCCATTAAAAATAATTCACAGTATTTGAAATCACACGGACTCTCACATCTTAATGCTTTACTATGTCAGGGCTGCCGACCTGTCACAAGATATCAGGCAGGCTTTATCCTGAGTATTACTTCATATATGATACATGGTGGTCTGTTTTTACCTGCTAAAGTGCTGGAAGACTGTGGTTGTTTACCTACAGCAAACCTTGAGGTTTTCTAACCAACAAAACAGACAATGCACGAATCCTAGAGTCTCTCTCTGTCCCTTTCTGCCAACAACAGAGCAAGCCATTTCACAGGGCATAATTTCACTATTTACTGTATTATCATAATTTGTTGGTAGTATATACAGTGTAACAATAAGAACTGGCCTCCGTTTTCTTATATATTATAAGCTCCCTGGACAAAAAATTAGACACCTTGCGTGTTTAAGGTGGTAGACACTTCAGGCTCCTGCAGATGGCGTTGCATAAGGATGATTGGGCTATAAATACATGCAAGGTTTGTGGCGGGATTCATAGATTGAGAAGAGGTGGTACAGTGCAGTGAATGTCTCGTTTGATGTGTGGAAAATGGGTCACAAAGCAGATGTTAGTGATTAGCAAAAAGTAATGACTGCATTTGGGCGTGCCAAAGGCCACAGTGTGAAGGAAGTATCTGAATCTGCAAGCATATCAAAGCGTACTCTCACACAGGTCGACCAGCGGTGGCAAAAATCCCAGGCTACTGGAAACTCTCGTCAGAATTGTGGCCGAAAGACGAAACTGACGGACAGGGACCGCTGGCGTGTTTCACGACTTGTGAATAAAAATCGCTTTGCTTCCAGGCAGGAATTGCTTCTAGTAGTCAACGCAGGTTCTTCACAACCAATTTCTGAAAGAACACTCCACAGAGAAACTCATACCATGAACATATGGAGCAGAGTGTCATGCAAAAGGGCTTTGCTCACTTCTGCTTACAGAGTTGCCCAGTTACAGTGGGTGAAGAAACAGAAAAACTGGACTGTTCATGACTGGAAACGTGTTATCTGGTCAGATGAATCTCGTTTCTGCCTGTATATGAATGATGCTGGGCGTCATGTTCATCATAGACCTCAGGAAGCCTTCACTGTGCAGGTGTTGTTCAAGCTGGAGGAGCCTCTGTGATGTTCTGGGGTGTTTTAATTACGCTGAAATGGGTCCTTTGGTTGAGGTGACAGCAAATTTGAACTACAGTGCCGACACTGAGCTGCTGGACAACCAGGTTTTGCCTTTTGCTCATCATCTCACTGAGTAACATAACATTCCTATTCCAGTAATCCAAGATGACGATTCTCGCATTCACAGGGCTGCAAATGTGACTGACTGGCATGATGAACATTCAGGAGCATCACAGATCTGGACTGGCCTGCAAAATCCCCAGATTTGAATAGACTTGAAAATCTGTGGGACTACTTGGAACTATCTTGGGTGCCAGGGAGGGCATCCACGAAATTTGGCCGAAATGCGCAATTCTTTGATGCAAGAGTGGCTGAACATTGACGTCGCCTACATCCAGAAACGTGTCCAGTCCATGCCAAATCGAATCGCAGCTGTTATGCTTGTGGAGGTATTACACGCTATTAGGTACGTTTCGGTCTCAGGTGACTAATTTTCTGTTCGGTGAGCTTATATCAGAACTGGAACTACACGTTTTATAATACAAGTTTTCAAACTTCACGGCTCCTGCGGATGCAAATTGTACAGAAAGAGCTGACTACTATTCCATACCTCCCCCCTCTCCTCATACGTTTAAACTGGCCCGCACTGAGGCTTAATACATTAGTCTTCACGATGGGCCTGATGGATGAAGGGGAAAAAAGGTAAAGAGGAAAAGGTGCTGCAGCCAGTAAAAATTTCCCATCTTCACTTGGCCCCATCCGTTAGGCGATGAAAAAGATGAATGCATACATATGACACCTGAGACATGAAACATGTGATGGAGCGCGCAATTAGGAGAGTGCAGCCACAGATGAGCGGGACACATGCTAGATTTTCAGCCACTGATTTATAGGTAGCAGAGGGGATTGTGGGTAGGGAGTGAGCGGTAACGACACGCGTGCCATAGATTTATTTGCGTCCTGGACCCTGCCTTTCCATGAGTGTGTGTGTCCGTATGTATGCGAGCGCTCTCCTTGAGAGGTCATTGTACGTGTGTCTGTGTTATAGAGTGGTAATGAATGGCCATGGAGGAGCCATTAGTGATAATGAAGATTAGGCCTGACCCCCAGACGCTCTTTCCGGCTCTTTCTCTTGCACTTTCTCTCTCTCTCTCTCTCTCTCTCTCTACTTTTCTCTTGTGGAGAGGAAAGGGACAGTCTTAAAACAGCACTATACGCCTCGGTACATGACTGCTACAGGTATCTGCTACCTGTGTTGAGTGAATGATGAATGAAAACATTAAACAAAAACACTGAATAATCTCCTGTGTGTATCTATTAACTCAAGTCTAACCTCCTACTGACCTACTTCATGTGCTAAACACTCCAGGCCATATTTTCTAAGATTTTAGGAGATTTTAGTTTTTCTGCTTTATTTAAAACTGTTTCAAGTAGTACAAGAAACGCGTCCTGTTAAATCTACCTGTGTTAAACTGACTTCTACCTATTTGATGCTTAGTTTGGTGCATTACATTCATTTTGCCAGGATCTAAAATGATCTATAATGAGAAAAGATGCTTTGCATCAGAGTTAACTACCCTAATTTTAATCTACACTCTCTGGACAAGTGAATATACAATTTGTAGAAAGTACACAATTAATAAAATACAAATACATAAATAATAGCAATACAATGCAAACTATAATAAAATAAAAAAAAATAAATCAGCAATTTAACTCTCAACTCTTGCTTTTGCCTCAAAAGATCTATACACAAACAAACTCACTCACTTTCCAAACATGGACAATTCCTCACCGACATTAGGCATGTGTAGGGGAGTCTGATTCAGTGGTAGCACTTTGTTTGAACGCTACCTACATAAGGACTTCATTACACATGAATACGCATTGAACAACATATTTATAAAGCAATACTTGAGTGTTTGTTTAATTTATAACACTGTTATAACTATGTTCTTCTCAAATGATGGGGCTTACACAAGGCTATGCAGAGGTCTAAATAAAAACACACAAATACACATAAATACCCAATTACTAACTTTATAAGTGCATAATACTTATTTTCATAGTCTTTATGTAGGTAGCCTTCAAATAAAGTGTTACCAATTCAGGTGCTAATTCAATGTTACACACTTAAAAATGATGGTTCTTCAAGGGTTCTTTAGTAAAACAAAATGGTTCTATGCAGAACATGAACACTCAAGGAAGCCTTTGCAAGATTAAAGGGTTCTCTGCATTGTGAAAGAGTTCTTGATGGAGAATGTGCTATAGATGTTTAATAGATGTGCTGTAGATTGTTACAATGTCAGGCTTGTTACAATAGAAGAACCCTTTTTGGAGCTACATAGAACCATTCTCAAAAACATTCTATAAAGAACCATTTAAAGCACATTCTGCACCAATCTGGAGAACGCTTTCACAATGCAAGGAATCCTTTAATCGTGCGAAGGGTTCTTTAAGTGTTCACGATTCTACATAGAACCATTTTCTTTACTAAGGAAGCCTTGAGGAATCAAGTGTGAACCAGTTGTGCTGTGCAAGCGTTAGTAGCTCTAGAAGAACCACTTTTAAGAGGCAGTTCTACTGTAGAGTGCTTTCTGCCCAGGCGCTGTGTGTCATAGTTCACTGTCCAACCTCTGTTCCTTTTCTGTCTGTATTCTAAGCATGAACAGCTGGAGAACAGGTCAGAAATCGGCCTCGGGGGCCGTCCGTTTCTCCGCTGTTCTTCTAATGCAACTGAAAATGTCACTGGTTCTATATTTAGACACACGTATTTTGGTTTCTTCATGGAGAAAATGACATAGGGCAGAGGTCAATCCAAGGGTGGTGTCATACTGGCCAGAGAGCAGAAGCTGCTGGAATCTGCATGCGCTTGTATGTTTGGCAAACATGTTTGAGCATGTTTAGGAAGGCGTGTCTGCAGAGGTTAACGTGTTTGCATGTGTTGGTGTAAACGCTTCTGTTTGTGTTGTACCTTCAGGCGGTCCTTAGGCAGTGCCACCGCTCCTTTCTTGATGACCTCTTGAACTCTTTCCACTGAAAGGTCCGTTCCTGCCTGCTCCAGCCGCTGACTGAAGAAACCAATCACCTGCCAGAAACATAAACACAGCACGGTCACTCTAACCTGCAGGTACCAACATTACACACTCCAAGCACTGCTCATGTTCCTATGCTTCATATTTCACACAAACATGCTCTGGAAAGTTCTGGAAAACTTCAAAAGAGGAGCACACGTGGGGGGAAAATAGGGGAAGAAGCCTCATGTCCATCTAGTGCAAAATTAAATTATATTGGCTTATACAACCATCAGGCATAACATTATGACCACCTCCTTGTTTCTACGCTCATTGTCCATTTTATCAGCTCCACTTACTATATAGGTGCACTTTGTAGTTCTACAGTTACAGACTGCAGTCCATCTGTTTCTCTGCATACTTTGTTAGCCCCCTTTTACCCTGTTCTTCAGTGGTCAGGACCCCCATGGACCCTCACAGAGCAGGTAGCACTGATGTGGTGGTGGTGTGTTAGTGTGTGTTACGCTGGTCTGAGTGAATCAGACACAGCAGTGCTGCTGGAGTTTTAAACACTTCAGTGTCACTGCTGGACTGAGAATAGTCCACCAACCAAAAATATCCAGCCGGCAGCGTCCTGTGGGCAGCGTCCTGTGACCACTGATGAAGGACTAGAGGATGACCAACACAAACTGTGCAGCAGCAGATGAGCTATCATCTCTGACTTTACATCTACAAGGTCGACTGACGAGGTATGAGTGTCTAATAGAGTGGACAGTGAGTGGACACAATGTTTAAAAACTCCAGCAGCACTGCCGTGTCTGATCCACTCAGACCAGCACAACACACACTAACACACCACCACCACGTCAATGAACATTACAGTGGTTTTTACGTTAAGTGGTATTAAGCACAATGTAAATCAGTGGCTTTTCACTTTTATAACCACAGACAAAATACAATATGATAAAATTCAGCAATGATACATAAATCATTTAATTTATTACTAATAATAATCATAATACCCACTTTTTCTGTGGCAATAAACAATTAGATAGATAGATGGATATATAGATAGATGGACAGGTGGATAGACAGATAGACCACGCTATTAATCCCAGAGGGAATGTCGTCTATTACAGCAGCACACGGTACAGAAAAGAGCAAAACAAGAGCAAAAGTATTGTTGGACACTATTATACTGATGCATAAATAGAAGAAGATATATAATAAAATATACTAAAACAGCTATAAAATATAATGTGCAGCACAAAAATAAGTAAGTAAACACACATAAATATTATGCAGATGACAATGCAGTGGGTGCATGTCACGTCAAGTGAATGAACCGAGTGACTATACACTGTAAACAATGACATATGATAATAGTTGTATATGCACAGGTGTGTAAACAAGTGTCAGTGCAATATGTATGGATGTATAAACAAAGGGTCAATTATTTTACATTCTGTTTAATTCAGTAACAGTTCATGTGTCTTCAGAGTTTCTATATGTAATGTTGAGGGTAAAATGGTGTTAAATCCAAAAAATTACTTTGTTTTTGGAGAACATCATGAATGTTTTTTTAAATTAAATATTTTAGGCCAAAATCTTCTCAGAACTATCATAAAACGATGTCTCAGACATCAGGCAGTGTATATTAGTAACTATTTCATATAAGTTTCTGGGAGGGAGCTTTTAGAGACATGAACTCCTCAGACGTCTGGTTCCTATCACCAACACATATTTCACACCAAACCACTCTGAGTGATGTTTCAACAGCTCAGTTATACAGCAGTTTAGTGAAATCACCGGAGTTTCTTTTTAAATGATGTCATATCAGGAAATCCATTCTAACAGAAACTGTTTTGTGTGCACCTTGAAGGAAATGACTATAGTTCCTCATAGAGTCTATTCTTCGGCTTTATTTCTAACTGTGGTAATGGGAAGTTATCTGAACTTCAGTTGAACCGGTGTCTGCTTTCGGCCTCAAGGCCTTTCGCAATAAATCTTTCCACATTTACTGAAGCCGGTGACAAGCAGCTCGTACACAATATACTAGAAAATGCTGTACAAAACCTCATGTATTTATGGGCTTTCAGAGTGTTTACGATGCTTCCTCAATAACTTCTCACCGGGCATAAACTGGGTCTATTTTGATTTAATATTACTAGGAAACGTGTTGCAATGCAAATCAGGGCGTGCGGTAGAATTCTAGCTCTTGCGTTTGTAAGAAGGTAATTTTTAAGGATTCTGCAACCTACCTGAAAAAAAATGGGCCTAATAACAAATCATAGCTTTGTGTTTTTATTTGCATTCCATTTACTGTCCCAATAATTTCATTAAATTAAATAATCAGTATTATAACTGGCACAAGTAACTAGCAGGCTGGTGCTGAACGATTTTGCAAAAATATCTAATTCCCATTTTTCCGACCAATATTGCGATTATGATTTAATTAGTTAAACTGTTTTCTATAAAATGAGGTATGGGACTAAGAAGACCAACGTATACTTTTTCTATCTTGAGGCCTGAAGGCTTAAACACAGCTCTGATGTCACAGCACATGGATGTTTGGTTGCTTCTGAATAGTCGAATTCATCTAAAAGCAGTTCACAAGCTCCATGTTATTAGGTATAATTTACTTTATTTAAAACTTGCAATGTATCAATGTTGTTAATAACAGACTACAGGATTATAATAAAGATTGCGGCTCTTGCGATTTGAAAACTGCACTTCTCCAAACTGTGATTTTGATATTAAAAACAATTAATCTTTCATCCCTAATTGTAACAGGAGTAATGTGAGGAAAATTGACATGCTGTGATGGCATAAGGTGGATTCTCACCGTGTCGAGGTTCTGCATGATGTCCTGGAAGCAGGGATGTGAGCGGAACTGCTCGAACAGCTCCCTCTTATAGAGCAGAGCGTACACCAGGTTGGGGTTGTGATGGAGGGAGTTGCTCAGACAGGAGTTAATAATCTCCAGCAGCATCCGGATCACTTCCTCTATCACACTCAGATCCTGCGCCTGACAGAGACAGAAAGAGAAAGAGAAATAAACTCCGTGTGGATGAAGTCCGCAGCACTGCACTGGTACAACGTATTGGGGAAAAAAAATATTTTGTGATTTAAGGGAAATCGCACGGATTTTTTAAAATTTCTGCACAGTTAGACGGTTAAGATGCTAACAAAGTCATTCAGAGCGTTTTGGTGTGAAACGCTCCGTTCTTGAGAAACTCACTAGTCAGAACTGCTCAGAGTGGTGGTGATAGGAACCAGACGTCTGAAGAGTTGAATGCCTCGAAAAGCTCCATCACATAAAGTTATTACAGGTAATCATTATGAATATGCTGCCAGATAACATCATTTCACGATTTTGAGATATGTAAGAATCCAAGAAAATTCTATGATTTTGGACTAAAATATACATTTTTAAAATGGTGGAGAACAAGAGTCCCTGAAGAAAATGTATTTTTCAGATTTCCCACTACGTTAGCTTCATCAGCTTTACATATAAAAGTGCGTGTAGGTTCACTGGTGGTTTTGGATAGTAAATAAAATAGCTATATTTGTGTTGTAGTCATGGCGACCCCTGGCTATCACCACCACTGTAAAGAAATGTGAGTCTCCACAATCAACCATTTCACATTAGAACATTCTGAATGACTTTTACATCTCAACCACAAAAATGATGCAAAATGTGTATTAAAATATACATTAACACTTTATTTGAATAGCTGACTGTAGATAATCTAAAGCTTGCCTTGTCCCCAACTTACATTAAACTAGTAACTCCAAAGGGTTGTTTTCCAATCATTTCATGGCCTCCCTGCAGTGTCTCCCATTTGGTTACATACTATGACTGAATGCATACAGCTAGTAATCTGTTCTCTATGCTAAAAATCCATAATTATACACTCGTTCTTCACAATTATAACCTCAAGAGACAAAGTCTACAAAACTGCAAACTTCAGCTAGAAATATATCTCAAGATGCATCTTTAATTTTTAGCACAACCCTATGATTAAGAATTACCAGAGCTGCCAAGCATAGTCTAGAGGGGTGTAAAGTCCCCCAGCATCAGACTGTGGAACAGTGGAACTGCGGATTGGATGGAGCTCCATCCAGTACGTTTGGGATGAGTTGGAGTGATCCAGAACTGACCATCCAACATCAGTACCTGACCTCACTAATGCTCCTGTGGCTGCATGCAATTAAATCCTAGACGAGCATGCGTCTACAAATTATAGCCCCTTTTCACAAGAAATGGAAGTGCATAAACGCTGAGTAAAACAAGTTCTGCTATTGCCTTTCAGACAGTTACTAATCTCAGAAATACAGGTGTTTGTATCACTTCAGCTCAGCACAGAAAGGTGTGTAACTTTGTCTCTGTCATAGTTGCCAAGATTGAAATTCGAGGATGTGTCCAGGAACACACAACAATGTGGGAGTCCAAATAAAATACAGAATATAAATGATCTGTGGAAAAACTCCTTCACAGCTGTCAGAGCACAGTAACGTCAGCTAACGTCTACAGAGTGATAAATCGATGGATGGATGAAAATAACTTTAATCAATATGCAAGATGAGCCACGTTAGCTGGAGATGTTAAAACAGCTCGCTAACAATAAACCAGTTAAAGTGGCAAAAAGCTAAAAAACACTAAAAAGTCGCGAGGCTGAAGCAGCCCCTTGTTCGAATTTTGCCATTCCACCTTAAACGGTGCAGCAGTTACACTGTGGCACCTCAGGCACCATTTAAGGTGGAACCACCGGCTTCACATCTACTCTCTGCCGAGCACTCGTTCTCTCAGTCGCTGATCATTTTTGGTTGAGAAAATGAAAACTGTTCCACTGAAAGCGGCTGTAGCAGCAACTTTAAAGCACGAACTGTATTCAGTGTAACGTTAGTCAGCAGCGCTGAAATGCAGACACAGAGGTTCTTTTACTCCATATGATAACGTTTATTTCTTTATTAACTGCACAGACTCGTTTTCCTCTGCTCGTCGTCAGCTGACGAGCCACTGAAACTGAGATGAGGCTGTTTTGGCTTTAAGCTCCAGGCCTAATACTTCAGTGAGCTGTACACTGTCAACTCGTCATTGTTGCTACTGTAATTGCTTTAGTGGAAGCTATGGAGGACCAGATTTGCCAAAATGAAAAATAAATAAAATTAAAAATAACTGACTTAGTAACTTAATATATGAATTAGAAGTGCAATGAATAATGATAAATCTAACAATAAACAAATATACATTAAAATTAATATATTAATAAATAAAACCTTGCACTTACTTATACGCCTATTTAGTGATTTCCCCTTCTCACTAATTTTTGTATTTAATTTTTTTATTTACATGTTTCTTCATTAACATTTTTTCTTTTTTATTAATTTATTTCCTCAACTATTCATTTCTATATTTATTTATTTCTCTATTTATTTATTTCTGTTTTTCCTCGTCCTTATGCTAATAAAGGGGCTGTCAATCAATGATGTCACAGCGTCTTAATATTCCTATTGGTTGACCGATATTAGAACATGTCTTGCTCTATCAGTGGTAACTAAGGACAAGACAGTACAATAATGGCTGCTTATGGGCAGCAGACAGCCAGAGATCTGACACTCTCGGCTGATCTGGCTGAAAATTCAGGTACGGATTGTTTACTCTTCCGTTGGAGGCTGTGGGGACAGTTTGTTCAGACCTTTGGAGGAGGTGGTTCATCGTCTTTTTCTGCAAAATTTAGATCAAACCCAGACATTTGGACGCCGTTCTCACACACTGCCTGTGGAACCCATTTAAATCAACTCTTCTCCTCCTGGTCTTGACTGCTAAGCCTGAACGTGAAAAACACGCCCCCTCATTATCATATGAACGAAGAAAAACAGAATTAAATCAATGAATTAACGAAAATAAATGAATACATGAATTAATAAATAAAGTGAACAATTCTTAAAAATATCAACTAAAAATGGCATTAATAAAATAAAATAAATAATACATAAATTGAGAAATACATAACTGCAGAAAAAAGAAATAACTGTATAATTACAATCAAAATAAGCAATATATACTATACTTTAATTTACTGAGCCATTTATTTTTTAATTTTATTTTTCATTTTGGCACATCTGGTCCTCCACAGAAGCAGCGTTACCCTGCAACGACTACTTCCTGCAGAAAAAATGCGGAAATGTGAAAAGGGCCTGTCCCAACTCCGTGTTTGAGTGTCCAAGGGGGGGGGTTAATAAGTCCCTTCATCGAGTGAACACTTGTGTTTAATGATGTTTATGTAACGATGCAGAGAGACAAATGAGGGAAGGATCTAGAATCGGGGTGCGTGTAAGGAACGCAGTATCAACCCCTGACATAAGAGAGCAGCTAGAAACGGCTACTGTAAACATGAAGCTACAACTGGAGCTGAATATGTATTTTTGTATTTCGGTCAAGCTGGAGAAGGTCAAAAGTTCCTCACACTAGTCAAACGAAAAGCTCAACATCACTGTGTTCATCCAACATCTCTTTCAAAGCATGATTCCAGGCCACCGTGCTATATACAGAGCTTTCACTGCCACTCAATACACTGTCTCACTACACGAGGTCACAGCATAACGCGTCTAACTCGTTTCACTAAAAGAAATTTTTTTGTCCCTGACTGAAAACTGTGCACGCTGAAAAAGGGAAAGCACTGAATGTACTGATTCAAATGTGTCATACAACAGATTTCATTACAACATAAATAAAATCTATTACATTAACACAGTTCTGCTTTCAGTCTGCTTACCTTTAATAATCGTGTTCATGTATTTTTTATGAGGAAGTGAAACAAACACTTGAACTGAGTTAATTCAATACACTTTAGTTTCCCCACGTAGTCGTTACTGTCACTCTCACTAGAAAAACCCGTATTTCCAAACCAGTAATGGCATCAAAACAGGATAAAACAGGAAATCAGTTGGCGTGACTTCTACCCAAAACTTAACTTTCCTCAATTTTTTTAAAAATAAAAAAAGCCCATACAGTTCGTTAATGGAAACTAGGACTGTTTTGAATTCAGCGTTTTTGTGATGTTACAAAAACCAGCATATTCACATACATATCGCTGTTTTTCAGTTTTTGACAATTTGAAAATGCTTGTTGCCCATTACATTGTGTGTAAATTTCAAGAATAATGGACCAAAGGAAACGGCTCGAAATGACTTGGTAAAAAGTCTGGTTCCATTGACTTGCATTAACAGTAAAGTATGTTTTTTCCTTCTCCATTTTGGAGACAGAGGTTTTCTTCTGACAACAGCGACATATATATATATATATATATATATATACATATATATATATATATATATATATATAAATGTATGTCTAGTCATCCTTTAGCAGTTTAGCTCTCCATGCAGAAGTTACAAGGAGGGTTCCAGCCTAGACTGGCACAGATAAATAAATAAATAAATAAATAAATAGGTATCCTATGTGATATGAAGAGGCTGGAAAATGGTCATGTAAAAAATGAATGACTGGTTTGGATACATAAAACCACACAAACCTCATTAATGGACTTTGGGCAACAAAACAAATACAAGAAAAAGGACCAAAAAAAAAAAAGTCTGTATGGTTAAACGTTGTGCGTGTCCAGCCCTGCGCTGTTAGACATACAGGTTCTGTTTGGGTACATTTATCATTCATCAGGGCACAAACAATGTAAATGTTCCCACAAAGGTACAACAGTGGTTTGAAGGTCCAACTGTGAGCCTTAAATAAGTTTTTCCAGGTGAAAAGTTTGTATTTGTACCGTTTCACTACTTAATGTTTTGAAACAGAACAGTAAAATAAAAGCCTTGAGACGAGACGGGGTGTGTGGAGTCAGTACAGCTTAGAAAATACCATTTCAATAGATAATAATTATGTTCCCTGACTAAAGGTACTGAGATGTACCCTTGAGGGAACCACCCCAGTGTCAAGAGGGGAACTGCCCCAGTAACGGTTTAGTATGTTTTTTCTGAAAGTGTGAAAAACAGTATAACCACCTATTT